CTCACAACATGATGAACATTACACTGTATGATGAAGCTGGTGATGGCATACAGATGTATAGGCGCCGTTGTGTGGAGGACGATGTGCGTGTGGGTGCATGTGTCGCTGCCTGACTGCTTCTCAAGTAGGAATCGCAGGCTAAGTGTCACTGACATCCTCTTTCTGTTTTTTTTCTTCTGTGATGTCCCTCATGCTCAGACTCTCACCATGCTCCCCCCATTCCTCTCTCCCTTTGTCGGCCATTTTGATGGCTTGATCATGGATATAATAATATCTTTGAGTGACGTGACTTGGTGTCACTGGCCTACATAGTGCTGCTGTGTGCTTTATGTGTACATTTCTGACTCTTTTGAGTCTTGGACTTTGCGTGTCAGCAGTGCCATCCACAGAGGCAAATCCACTGGAGGGTGGGTGTGTAATTGTTTGAAGTTGAAAACGACCTCTCCCACTCCGTATCACCGTAAAAAAATATTTCAGTATTTCCAGTCAGTAGCTATTAATAACCATGTTAATAAAGACATTTGGGTCAACTATTTGCTACAGAAACAAGTAGTGTTTAAAGTAAGTAGAAAATATTCAGTACATGGTTTCACTAACTTGTGCATTCAAACTGCACTCTTTTCATCCTCACAACATTTCCGCTTGCAGAACAAATTCCCGAATTGACTCCCTATGATTTACCCTTTCAAGGTGTCACGGTAAAAGGAGCAACAAGAAGTCATTATTATTCTCACAGGGTAAAGCCCCTGATCTGTTTCATTACCATCTCCTCATCAGAGCTAAATGCAGTTAGCACTAACAGCCAGAGCTAGTCACTGGCGGCTTACCGCTGACGAGGCTGATCAAAGGCTATAGTCTGATAAAGAACAAAGGCCCGTTCACCTCTGTGATAGCACACACGCTCCAGGACTGCGCCGTGGAGGTTGGCTTTAATAATACTGTATTACTATGTACGGAGGTTTTCTTGATTTCTCCTTTTGTAAAGAAGAACACACCTACATATTTTGTTTGTGTAAATCCTCCTTTAGCTGAATCCCTGATAAATACATTTATTTTTTCATCCTAGAGCCACATTCCAGATATGTCAGTCACTTGCTTGTAAGAAAAGTGAACAACCTTTAAGAAGAGAACTCCTCCACAGTATTTCATCTCGCATCACATCAACATGGTGGCACAGATTGTCAATGTCAATATTCCTGATTCATGAACTATGTACAACTTTTTCTTTTGCACTTCATGACCTACTTACCTGGCAGAAATAAGCCTGTGCATTACAATCATTTCAAATTGTAAAAATGCTCTTAGTTCATCCCATTTACTCTTATTTAAAGATCCCCGTGCCACACAGTAAATGTATTCGTTCAAACACTCACAGAGAGAACTGTCACCATGGTCTCTTATCGTTTTATATCTTCCCATGTTTCTTGTTTAAACCTTGTTCTATATCTTGACCAGAAATATAAAAAACGTCTCAGCATGCCTCTCTTGTTAATTAGAGCAAAGCAGCGGCAGCCTCATGCTGACGGATGGTACACTACTGAGCTTTTCACAGGCCAGGATTAATGGCTCCTGCCTGACTAGGATATGGTGTATATGTGTCAACTGTTTGCATATGGAAACTTTGTGTATAATGCATGTGTGTAGGTGTATTTATGAATAGAAAAACTATTTTCATGTTTAAATATTTGTATAAACTACACCTCTATTATGCTTTGTCTACAGCATTGTAATATATTCACTTCGGACATTTTTTTTGTTTTAGCGTGATATTTGCAACTCTAAGGTCTTGCCCCTGAGAATGAAAAACAAAAAAAGAGAAGATTTGAACTCTGTGTCTCACTGGAGGACAGTGAAGTGTTCGAACCAGACGTCACCTGAATGAGTTGTTGGCTGACTGTTTGCAGAGGAAGGAAGATGAAAGCCTGGCACAGCTTCACACAGCAGATATAGTCTGGTCTTTGGGGAATCTAAAGTCCTTGGGCCAAGGCGGAGATCTGTAAGAGATGGATTAAACCAAAACACATACATTTTTTTCCATACTTTGGTGACTGTATGTGCCTTCTGAGGTATGATTCAATTTGGAAAATCTCCTCAAATGTCAATCAAACTGCTGGGATTTCAGTTTCTTGCCATTTTTCTCTTGTTGTCTCTTCACTAATGCTACCTACGCTTAGCATGTTGATCATAACAACGGGCTAAGATTATTGATGATCATGATTTAGCGCACCTTACTGTTATGGCAGTACTTCCGATTGGCGCATAACGATAAATCAGAACCAAAATCACCCGTTTAAAACATCTTCGTCACCAGTGATACAAACAATGAATGGGACAGTTTATACGTGTGTATATTTAGTCAAAGACTCTTGAAGAGTTTAAGCAGAGTTTCTGTCAAAATCGTGCCAACGTTCCCCTGGGGATAATATGAGAGGAAATGGGTCGGTGTTGGCTCACATGACCATGCAGTTATCCTAAGGGTTGCAGAGCTTCACTTGGACAAGCAGTCGGGTCAGGGTGTTTGAGGCTGGGTACAGATTCCTCTTTCAGTCAAGTTGCACGGCTCGGCTGCAGCTCAGCCAAGCACTAAGCAAAAGAGCTACCTTTTCTCTTGAGAGAATTGAGGCAGATGGACATAACACTAGCAGCTGGGCAAAAAAATGACAAACATGTTGTTTTTTAGATTGAAACTTGACCAAAGCTTTAAGTATTGTACATTTTGGCTGTAAAACAATGCTGCAAAGAAGACATTGTGGACTACAACTGTGAAAAACATAATCCAAAAAGCAGGCAGTGTACACAGTCCAGGTGAACATACACTGCCACACAGGGGCAGTTGCTTTGCCCAACACAGACAGCTGCATACATAACTATAATCACAACAACTACTACACACACACATACAAATACACAGATACACATACACACACAGCGCAATCCTCTAGTTATCTCTTGAGGCTTGTTATGTTTCCTCAGTGTCCTTGGGATTTAATGGTACCATCAGGCGAGCTGGCCAATACCCCCTAATAACTAGCAACACAAAGCACGGAGGATACATGGAAGCTCAACATAGTAAACCTTCATAAACACAGTACTATAAAAAGAGCACAAAACGCTGCATCTCTCTGTCACAGTAGAGTCCCCGAACAGAAATAACTCTATGAATATGCAATTTGGCCCGGGAATATCCCAAATCTATTTACCCATAAGGGACACAGATGTGCTTAAAAGAATGGCTGATTAAGCAAGCGTAAGCTCTCAAATTGTTTACAAAATAAAATGATTTTGTCCCAAAGTCTTGACGGGTTTTATCATGTTTTTGGGGATGCTCATAATTGCTATTGAAACCGTTTCATGATTTGTTTGTGAATGACAGAGTTGTGGGATCTGGTTTGCATGTGTTTTGCTCATGATGTAGTACATGTCTACATATTTGTGAGAAGTTTTGTTTGCAATACTATAATTAGTTAGATAGTACAATAAACCTGCCCACATGCGTCTCTAATTACTGTCTTGTCTGAACAGGACATGTTTCTTCTCACAACTGCTAATGAATCCTGTTTTTTTTTGCCTTTAATTAACAGTTGCATACATGTATATGTAGCGTGTTTACAAACAAGAGATTAACTAACATGCAGATCAGGCTGTGTCACTCAGAGACCAAAATAAACCAGGCCCACTTTATCAATGCTAGAGGCATGTTGTGCCTGCTGCATATTAAAAGACGAGAATTTATTTCTGACGGTTTCTTATATTTAATAACAGTCCTACATACACTAAGTCATGTGTGCTTAGTTATAGATGAGAACACATAAGATTATGTAAAAGAAAAAAAAGCAATCAAGTAACACCGGACTACATACTGATTTTAGCTGTCTGAAACTTAAAAAAAAGAAGTAATGGAGCAATATACAGACAGATGACCCATCAGAACCAGTGGATGCTAGTATTTGGTTTGTGTTCTGTGGTCATTTTGCTATCAGTTGCCTAAGCAGATTTTTTGGAAGCACTGTGCTTCCAACGTTGAAAATACAACCGCATTGGTTCTGTCTTAAGCCCTTTTTGCCATTATTAACGTCACCCGGCGAAATATAGCCCCATATTATTTGTGTTCTCTCCCTTCTGCGTCTCACAGCGCTGTCTGTCCCCTCTGTTCTCCCTCATCTTTCTCCATCAATATTAAGCTCGCACGTCTGAGATCATGATTGTGCAGCCTTTTTCTCTCTCTCTCTCTCTGTCTGTATTCCCTCCCTCCCCTGCTTGTATGCCCGCGTCATCCCTGTTGTCACTTTGACGCCAGGCTTGATAGAACAAGGGAGCATGAGCAGGGGTGAGCCTAGCTTTAATTGTAGACTGTTTGTAATGGAAATGAGATCTCACTCAAGAAATAATGGCCAGGGATTAAGCCGAGCCCCAGGGTCAAGACGGGCTGCTCAGACTGATAATGAATGCAGCATTCCACTCGGAATCACACTTGATTTAATTATGTGTCTTTTTGCATACATAGGCATGTTCATAATGTGTGTGTTTGTGCACGCCAGAGTTGAAGGGTTATTAAATATATTCTATCGCTAATGTTGGACTGGTATCTTCCCTGCATATGAAACCAATATGTTAAGGTTCAGTGAATTGCTTGACACATATATTGACATGACTGAGAAGCAGCAGAGGAAATAAGACATTCATATTGCTCAGTCCTCTGTGGGAAGTATAGAGCTATGCAAAACTCAGAAAGCTTATTTATCACTTGGCTCGGCACAAACTTTTTTATTGGCTTTCAGCTGAATAGACCAAAGGGATTTGTACACAAAGTACATGGTGTCAAACTCTAGGCAAATAAGATGGATGATAGAAAGAGATGAATGAAAAATGTATAATTGCTGATTGACTTGACGTGGAAATGATCACATTGTAAGCTGTCTACTGTTGGGATAAAATGCACTTTAACACATTGTATGTAACATTAACATATTTTTTGTTTTTGTGTGTGCTTCTTCCAGATCCCCATCTGCAACAATCATGATGGGACCCATTTCCGCGTAAAGCTTCGTAGTCCTACCATTTCAAGAGAAGAATGGGTTTGCGCTGAAACCATGAACGCATCGTTTGCTTTAGCAGACACGAGCAGACTCTGATATTAGTCTCCTCCACGGCTCCCTCACTCTTTTGCTCGTTTTCTTCTACTTGCATTCCCCTAAAGAAAGATCATAATCAGATAACTCTTCCCCCAAGCGTTTGGCGCCAGTTCAAATTTCCTCAAAAATGAACTGCGATCTGGATTCTAGAGACTAAGATTCTATTTTCATCCCAGGATAGACCAAGAGGCTTTTGAAGAAACGGCTGTGTTTAAATTATCATATTCCCCCCTCTTTTACTTTCCCGCTATTCCTCATTCCTTTCCTCCAATTCCCAGAGGCACCAACTGATGGAGAGACGAAGGAGAGAGTCAGGATAAGGACACGAATTATAGCCCCACAGAGAAAAGAAACAAATAGCTGATTCTTCAAGAAAATTGGAGTAGGGCTACTGCAAGGATTACTATACTCGGTGAGCTTGATACCCCACTTCAGTGATAAATAATACCTTTTTGATTACATTTGAAATCTATTAGCCACAACAAAGCTAGACGTTACCTCTGGGGTGTATTAGACCTGTAAGGCATCAAGTAGAAAAGGGGACATTTGGGAACTTTGAGCATGAAAAGGGGGTTAAGATTCCTGGGTTGGCCCCTGTGGCCTATAGCCCTCATCAGCCTCCTCACTACAGTGGAGATGCTAGAATTTGGTGGGGCGCCTGGCCAGTGGGCCCGCTATGGACGCTGGGAAGCTGGATCAGTGGGCGAACTGAGTTTCAGTCTCAAGACCAACATCAGCAAAGCCTTAGTACTCTACCTGGATGATGGCGGCAACTGCGACTTCTTGGAGCTTTTGATAGCAGGCGGGCGCCTCCAGCTGCGCTTTGCCATCCACTGTGCCGAGCCGGCCACGACGCACATGGAGACACGGGTGAACGATGACCGCTGGCACATGGTCTTGCTGACCCGTAACTTCCGTGAGACCCTCCTGATGGTTGATGGGGAGACAAAAGTAGCCGAGGTCAAGTCCAAGAGGAAGGAGATGGCAGTGGTCAGCGACCTTTTTGTGGGCGGCATTCCACCTGATGTGCGCCTCTCTGCCCTTACGTCCAGCACAGTGAAGTACGAGCCACCATTCCTGGGATTGATCTCAAATCTGAAGGTGGGGGAGATGCCTCCTACTTTGTTAAACAGCCAGGGCATTCAGAGCGACCTGGAGTACCTCTGCACCAAGCAGAACCCGTGCTTCAATGGAGGGTTTTGCTCAATTGAGTTTGGAGAAGTTCACTGCGACTGCATCCAAACCGGCTTCAGGGGGAAGTACTGCAAGGAAGGTAAGGAACCATCATGCTCTACCTGCTCTACCTTGATTTTGTTGATGTTTAAGCTATTAATCAGCTGTAGTTAAAGATATCCTCTGTGTGCCTCGTTACTCAAAATAGGTCTTTTAATTCTTGTGTGGTTTTCTGGTCATCCGACACAACTCAATCTCCTAAAGGGACAGTGGTGTGAGAGTTAAATTATACTAAAATAGTCTCTTCTTGACCTTTTCCAAGTATCTTGCAGTGAAGTCCTTCGGTATGAGGAAGTAGGATCTCTGTTTTCTTAACTTCTTATACTTGAGGGGTTACAGTGAGGACTAAGAGAAAAGAAGGTACAAAGCTTCATTGCTTTAAAGATGAAATTGTTGAATGAAAAAAACCGTTTCTAGGGATTATGTCACTCATACAAGAGATTAAGACATGGCACACGTGCTCCTTTGAATGTTTATTGGATTGCTTTAATTAAACAATACTTAAATTCATAGGTAATGAATATCGAAACAAAAATATTTCAAATGCAAAATCTCACATTGTAGGTCTTCTCTACACATTTTATTTCCTGTTGTTTTTCTCCTTTCTTGTTTCTTTATCTGTCTTCTTCATGTCTTCCTTTCCAAGCCTATTGTCTCAGGCATGCACCCTGTTCTTCTTCATTTGCTCTTGGGATGTGCTCCTTTGCTGTCAGCTCATGTCAAACTTTGTTCTGCTTTACACCTCTGGCTCCCTCCTTTACTGACACATCCCATTTCCATATCTATGGTCTCTCCCTCCACTTTACGTTCATCCATCTCTCCGTTACTCTTCGTCCCGCAGCATTTCCTTCTCCCGCCTCCTAATTTCTCTCCTCAAGACTATCTGGCCACTCCATCTCTCATCACCTCCCTCCCCCGCTCCATCCCTTCCAAGTTCACTCCCTTACTCCACTTATCTCTCTTTCACCTTTACCCGCTGTCAGCATACTCCCTCCTCTCCTCCCCCTGCACTTATCTCCCTCCTCTCAAAGTGTCTGCATCTCAACACCTTATGTGTGCTTTCTTTTATTCACTGTGCAGTCATTCATTCTAGATTACCTACTGTTTGCCCTTATATGTGCTATTAATAATGCATTGCGCAATCATTAATAATCAATAGACTCAGTAGCTCCTACCTTGTCCTGTGTGATGAAATGACTTGTAATTACTGGATCTTCAAAAAGGTAGATAACTTCTTTGCCAGCAGCAATGTGACAATTGTTTTGAAGTCTTGTATTTTGGTTGCACGCAGAGATAAGCTCTGACAAAGCTGAAAATAAATCAAGGCAAACACAATGTTTTGTTACATTTGTTTTTCTTTGACTGCTGCTTTTGATAGATCTGAAGTAAAAATAATAAAATCAGCATGGAGCCAAGATTTTGATTAAGGCATTTTAATTGTTTTCAAGTAGAAAGTCTGGAACCGTCTATACCGGCTCGATAAGCTGTCTAGTTTTGTCTTTTTCTCTCTAAAGAAACTAAACCAAATCAGATTCCTTCGTTTCTTGTGACTGAGTTAGAGAGCCTTTAGCACAGCAAAAGATGTGCTGGACAGCTATATAGGTCCGTCTGTGTCTCTCTCCTCTTTTTGCTGTCTTTCTTTCATTTCTCTCTGTTCCTTCAACTCTTCAAGCCTTTTCTCCCTCGCTCTGTGAGCTCTGTGTCAGATTGCTGTGTGGTTGCTGGAAGCAGATACTGCCGCCTGGCTCTTGGCTACATTGAGAGCAGAATACCAATGCAGTGCTACAGTGACTGCTGGAAACATTTGTCCTTTTGAAATGGAGAGAGAGTAAGATAGAGGGAGAGAATGGAGATAGAGGAAAGGAGCAGAGAAATGCAGCAAGAGGACATCGGAGAGAGAGAAATGGCTGATCAACAGTGAGAAATGGAGAGGAGAGCAAGAATGAGAAAGAAAGCATGAAGATATTAATTTGCTCTGTGTTCATTTATTTTCAGAGATGTTCTCTGGAATGAGGGCCGTTAATTGTGTCATTATGGCTGACTGCCAGTGCAGTGATGTATTTATTGCTTTTATCTAACACGGGTGGCAATGTAAAGGTCTCTCTCTCTTTTTGTTGCCTTTAAGACCCTTTTAGATGTCTATACTAACAAATCCATGTCTGGTTGTGTTAGCTCTGTGGTGAAGGAGCCATTTCAAAGAATGTGAAAAGACTCCAAAACTGATTTTTTTTACATGTGGGGTGAATAACCAAGAAAAAAAGAAAATGGGCTTTTATGGAAAAACACAACAAAAAACAAAGAAAATATTTGTTTAATGAACAATGGATAGTTATACAAAATTGCAAGTGAATGTTGACTGTCCTTTAGGAAAATAAAAAGGGCTCAAAGGACAGAAAAGAGTTTTAATATTTACGTGACATTTTTTTTGAGAATATTTGGTGTAATATCCTGTTGTGGATTTAAGATGTTATTTTTGGTGAAGAGCTAATAGTATTTCTCCTGATATTCAATGTCATTTTGATGATAAAACAAACAAACCAGTCTAATCCATCACCAATCTGAATAACATTAAAAGTTGATAGCTAGAATTAAAGTGTAGTGTTATTGGCGGTCACGTATATAAGACTCTGAAGGGGCAGGCTTTGATGATCACATACTACGAGAGAATGGAGTTTGACAAAAAGAAGTTGCTTTCATGTTTGACTTCAGCACAGATGACAAGCGCCAAACTTTTACTATTTGATCTAAACCCCATTATGTTACATAAATATTGTCAAAATATGCACATTGGAAAATACTTTTACAGCCCTTAAGACAGTATGGGCTCAGAACAGTCTCATTATACACACATGCACACAGAAGGATTCACACTTGTATTTCATGATCCGCAAAAGGATTCACACTTGTATTTCCGGATCCACACTTGTGTTTTTCAATGCACACACAAATGTGTTCCGTTTCATATACATGTAAATAAAATCCAAATACAGAAAAAAGTTTTAAATGTGTATTTTTGATCCACACATATTTGTTTTCCGTTTAAATCCCCTGAACCTGCAAACACAAACCGCTTTCTGTGCACGGATCGCTGTACATTCGTGTGTGGGTTTTTTGAGACTCCCCTGACGGTCAGCCGATTCGTACTTGTAATTTTTTCTATCTATAGCCAATCAGATGTCTCCTCAATTCTAAGCCAATCACATGAGCGCGCCCCCACGAGGGTAGATTTATTGCGTTCATGACGTAGCGCTTCATGTACGCATTTTGCGCAGTCCGGAGCTGACAGGTCCATGGAGCCTGCCTGCAGGCGCTAATCTCAGGACACCTTGGGGAGCCTCAGTCATCTTAGTACCTGTCGAAAGCGGCAGGTGATGGGCGGATAAAATTTTAGTTTCATCCTTGTTGTGTTCACACGAAACTTTGTGGGACTGTCATGTATGTAATTATAATCCCTTTGTGAAACAGTCCGTGTGAGATCATGACAAAATAAGTTTGAACTTTCTTCACACACTTACATTTAAGTTTCATCACCGTAGTCTTTTGTGTGTACACCTCCGAAGACTCACACTTTTGTGTTGTGCGTAAAAGTTGTTAACCTCTACTCTTGTTAATGGACGACTGAACTTTTTGTAGGTCGGAGGAAAATTACAAAGAGTCAAACCCTTCAAGAAGTAGTTGGCTTCGGTATCAGAAATTTTTTCCACTTTATGTGAATGTTATAAGTGTTCACTAGGTGTAAATTTTAGAAACTCTTTGGAAGGTATGACAAATATACTAATGGAGTGACACGTTATTCAACAGGCCACCTCAAGATCATAGGAGAAAGGTTTCGGTCGTACCCGTTGCACCAACGGAGGAGGCTGGGGAGGTCCACCATTTGACTGACCCAGCTTTATATAACCTACAAACCCTGCAAAGTTCCGTTCCTCGACGATTCCAAAATTTCGTCATTACCCCTATATCTACATGTCTTGATACCTGTAGTACAAATTTTGTAATTGAGTGTAATTTAATCTCATTACGCTCCCCACTCTAGTTTATAGTCTAACACTGTGTAGATGCCCTAATTCGGTGTCAAACAGAACTTTGACGGTATAGCGGACGGAGTTGGTACGTAGTGACACCCCTCACTGCGACACATGGCGGGACTGACGACGCGACTGCCACGTGGGAGATCGAGTGAAGACCACCTCATCCTCCGCGTCTGTCGAGGGACCGATAATTACTTGATTTCGGGCACGGACGGTGGAGCTGGGCTCCTCAGTGTGGAACAGTTGTCAGTTAAAAGTAAAAGAGAGTGTCGTGAAGTGACGTCGTAAACTGAACCATCGTCTTCGTGGATTTATTCTTACCCCCTGCAATCTGGTTGGTTAGCAATTAGCAATCTGCTGTTGGCGATCGATTACAATCGAATACCTCGAGTCGGATGTTGTGTCAATTCGTGGTTTTGCCAAATAAATAATAGTTTAATTTGTGATTGTTGATCCGTTTTGGTTAGGAAGTAGTAAAGTATTAAATTTGTATTGAATGTGA